TAATTATTTTATAGCGAGTTGGACCTTAATGCTATGAAGGCAGTGGGTGTGGTTTTATGTGGCCTACCTCTACAGCCTAAGGACATTGGTAATGATATTTATGAAGAGAAGGAGAAACTTTTCTTGAAGTAAGACACTTGTACAATTATTTACAATTATTTGTATTTCAAAATATACATGTATAGAATTTGCAATTTTTAATTTTTTTGCTTGTTCCTTAATACTTCAATCTGTTTTTCCTTTTTTTCTTCCCTCCCTCCTCCTTTTTCTCCCCTCCTCTCTCTCTCCCCCTCTCCCTCCTCTCTCTCTCTCTCCAGATATTTCAATACATTCCTTAACTTGGTTCATTCAATGAACAGTGTTGAGACCTCTAAACTAGGTCAGCTAAGGAGAGCCACTATCACTCGTCAAGTCTCTGCTCTACGTGAAGCTACAATACTTGCCATGTCCAACATGCTCACCGCTAACATTGACAGTGGACTCACTCACGCTATAAGTAATAGCTATGATTAATGCTATGAGCATTGGTAAGTCTTTGTTTTTTCCCAGGTCTTGGGTATCACAGTGATTTAAAGACTCGTACCAGTTTTATTGAAGTGCTGACATCCATTTTGAAACAAGTAAAGAATAATAATGATATTTGAATTTAATTTATTTATTGTTATTATTAAATTTAATTAAATTAATAATTTGCTATTGACATTATTTAAATAATAGCTAATTGATTCTATTATTATTATTATTATTAATTTATTATTATTATTAATTTATTATTATTATTAATTTATTATTATTATTTTTATTTTTATTTTTAGGGTGCAGAGTTTAACAGTTTAGCTGACACAGCACTTGCCGATCGTTATAATCAACTCCTTGAACTGGTTACCGTGGAAACAGAAGACGGAGAACATCCCATAATGGTTGCACTTATTAATTCCGTACCTTTCGATAATCTGGTAAGACATGTACATATACAGTACATGTTACACATGTAACAATGCAGTACATGTACATATATATATATATATATACATGTACATGTACATGTATATATACATGTACATGTACATGCAATGTACAATGTACATTGTAATTCTTTTCTTCTTGGAATAGGATGAATTGGCTGAGGTTTTGGTCGTCTTGTTTGATTACAAGAACAAGTTACCTTCTTTCCTAACACAGATACTGCTCACCGAGGTATAAACCATGTACATGTACATTGTACCTAACAATAAATTGTTTAATAATGAAAATGTATCATTATATACTGTTGTAGGGAAGCATTCATGGGCCAATTACATGTAATTTGTCAATTAGCAGTTTTGTAAAGAAACTTCCAAT